CTGAGACAAGCTTCTCCACGCAGCCTGTGTCCTCAGGAAGGTGATGTTGACCCATGGCCAGACGCATCCCCCGCCATCCCCGCCTCCCAGGACGCGCAGCAAGCTTGTGGTTCTGTTCTCCCGTATCGCCACCCGTTCCTCTCCTCCACCCGCGCCGCCCTTCACCCAGGCCAGAACTGGCGCCAGGCCCCTGTGCACCATGCCCTTTAACGTGTGCACACACACAGAGAGAGGTTTCCTGTGGGTCCATGGTGCATGTGTGCACAGAGAGAGCGCTTTCCTGTGGGTTCCATGGTGCACGTGTGCACACAGAGAGAGGTTTCCTGTGGGTTCATGGTACACGTGTGCACAGAGAGAGAGCTTTCCCGTGGGTTCCATGGTGCACGTGTGCACACAGAGAGAGCTTTCCTGTGGGTCCATGGTACATGTGTGCACAGAGAGAGAGGTTTCCTGTGGGTTCCATGGTGCACGTGTGCACACAGAGAGAGGTTTCCTGTGGGTCCATGGTGCACGTGTGCACAGAGAGAGAGCTTTCCTGTGGGTCCATGGTGCACGTATGCACACACAGAGAGATTTCCTGTGGGTCCATGGTGCACGTGTGCACAGAGAGAGAGAGGTTTCCTGTGGGTTTCATGGTGCACGTGTGCACACAGAGAGAGGTTTCCTGTGGGTTTCATGGTGCACGTGTGCACACAGAGAGAGGTTTCCTGTGGGTCCATGGTGCACGTGTGCACAGAGAGAGAGAGGTTTCCAGTGGGTTTCATGGTGCACGTGTGCACACAGAGAGAGATTTCCTGTGGGTCCATGGTGCACGTGTGCACACAGAGAGAGAGGTTTCCTGTGGGTTTCATGGTGCACGTGTGCACACAGAGAGAGATTTCCTGTGGGTCCATGGTGCACATGTGCACACAGAGAGAGAGGTTTCCTGTGGGTTCCATGGTGCACGTGTGCACACAGAGAGAAATTTCCTGTGGGTTGCAGTGCATGTGCACACAGAGAAGTTTCCTGTGGGTTCCGAGTGCACGTGTGTACAGAGAGAGAGGTTTCCTGTGGGTTCCATGGTGCACGTGTGCACACAGAGAAGTTTCCTGTGGGTTCCATGGTGCACGTGTGTACAGAGAGAGAGGTTTCCTGTGGGTTCTGAGGTATACCTGTGTACATAGAGAGAAGTTTCCTTTGGTTTCTGGGTGCACATGTGCAAGAGAGAGAGATTTCCTGTGGGTTCCGGATGCACGAATGCACAGAGAGAGGTTTCCTGGGGTGCCAGGTGCACGTGTGTACAAAGAGAGAGGTTTCCTGTGGGTTCCATGGTGCATGTGCACACACACACATACACACACAGAGGTTTCCTGTGGGTTCCCTCCTGCTCCCCATCCTGTTCCCCCTCTCTCCTCCCCCTCCTGCTCCTAGCATGCTCCCCTCTCTCCTCTCCTTCCTGCTCCCCCTCCTCCCTCCCCTCTCTCTTCACAGGTGTGAGAGGTGGCCTAGATGCCCTGAGGAGGAATGTTCATTCCTCTTATGTGATGAAATCACATGGTACACTAGGAGCTGTGGAGGAGCAGGCTCCTGGGGTCCTGCCTGCCTCGGGTCTGCGGCCGGGCCGCGAGCGTGACAGTACGGCAGGACCGCGGGGCAGCCTCTCCTGGCTTTGTGAGACTTCCCACTCCGGTGTGGAAGTAGAAGTCAGTAGCCTGGTGCTTTATTTTTTCAGATCCTCATGCTAAAACGCCACGTCTGCCCTGTGCAGTACGGCGCTGCGGGATACGTTGGACAGGGCTGTGTGGCTTTGCTCGGACTTTGCGTAATTCCTGCCGTGGCCTGAAGCCTCCCCGTGCAGCTCAAGATGACCGTCGCGTTAGCTGTCTGATAAATGCGAGCGAGGTCAGGCTGGCTGGCCACCTCGGGTCATCCTCCTTGGACCCTTCCCAGGTGCTGAGCCCAGCAGGCACCGGCCGGCCCGCCAGCCACACGGAGCCTTGGTCGACCAAGAAGGGGCTCCTGCACCTGAGTCCCGGGACGGGCTCCCGGGGAAAGATGGTGTGGGCTCCCAGTCCCACCCCCAGGTACGTGCCTGAGGGACAGTTCGGTGGTTCTGGCCACCTGCAAGGCTGGGCGAGAGGAGGAAAATCAGGGCTGAGTGGAAACAAAACCAATTCTTCCTGATTCCAGAGCACCCTGGCTTATCACGTTCCCGGCATCACCTGCCTGCATCCTGCACAGAGAATGCCTGCTGCTCCACTCTGATCCAAGTGTACTCAAGGCTCAGAACGCAGGCTGTGTACCTCCGGGTCTACCTTGCAGCACCCTGCTGTTGTAGGGTGTACCTAGAAGCCTGGTGTTGCAGGATGTTGTAGTGTGAGACCATGCTCTCCTAGGACTGCTGTGTGGATTAGATCCCTGTGACAGAGCCTGGCGCTATCACAGGCCTGTGTGGGAGTCTGATTTTGTCCGCTTGCGCACAGAGTGTCCTGTGGCTCAGACAGCACAACCACAGTGCGTTCGCTTTCCTCAGCTGTCCCACCACGCAAGGTAGCTGTCAAGACTCGGTTTCTTGAGAAGTGCAGTAGTTTGTGTGGACGTGTGTTACCAGACTGCCCCAAGGTCAGTCATGGATGGACACAGCCACCGGCACGTTGGGCCAGGGTGGCATCTCGGCAGGTAAACAGCAGTGACGCGAACGTCACGGGCAGCCGCCGTGGAAGGAAGAGAGCACACATGTGCTGAGTGAGCTGAGAGCGCCTGCCCAGGACGTCCGGCCTGACTGCCCACAGCAGCCCACGGCAGCCCACGGCAGCGGGGGCATCTCTGAGCGCCTGCCCAGGACGTCCGGTCTGACTGCCCACAGCAGCGGGGGCATCTCTGAGCGCCTGCCCAGGACGTCCGGCCTGACTGCCCACGGCAGCGGGGGCATCTCTGAGCGCCTGCCCAGGACGTCCAGTCTGACTGCCCAGGGCAGCCCACGGCAGTGGGGCATCTCTGAGTGCCTGCCCAGGACGTCCGGTCTGACTGCCCACGGCAGCGGGGGCATCTCTGAGCGCCTGCCCAGGACGTCCGGCCTTACTGCCCACGGCAGCCCACGGCAGTGGGGCATCTCTGAGCGCCTGCCCAGGACGTCCGGCCTGACTGCCCACGGCAGCGGGGGCATCTCTGAGCGCCTGCCCAGGACGTCCGGTCTGACTGCCCAGGGCAGCGGGGGCATCTCTGAGCGCCTGCCCAGGACGTCCGGCCTGACTGCCCACGGCAGCCCACGGCAGCCCAGGGCAGCGGGGGCATCTCTGAGCGCCTGCCCAGGACGTCCGGCCTGACTGCCCAGGGCAGCGGGGGCATCTCTGAGCGCCTGCCCAGGACGTCCGGCCTGACTGCCCACGGCAGCCCACGGCAGCCCATGGCAGCAGGGCATCTCTGAGCGCCTGCCCAGGATGTCCGGTCTGACTGCCCAGGGCAGCGGGGGCATCTCTGAGCGCCTGCCCAGGACGTCCGGCCTGACTGCCCATGGCAGCGGGGGCATCTTGGGACTTGAGTCAGGGTCCAATGGAGGGCGAAGGGAGACAAGCCGGGAGAGGACTGAAGACCAGGCTTCGGACGCTCCTCCTTCTCACGTCCAGCCCTCTGGGTACCCCAGGCTCTCTATACGTCCTCGGGGCTCCAGGGGGGTCCTCCCCTGCACTGCAGGCCCAGCGATAGACTGTAGTCAGTGAGGCCCTGGCCTGCAGTCTGGCCACAGCCTCTGCTGCGAGGCTTTTAACAAGCAAGTCATTCTCTTGGTTCTGCAGTCTAATGCCAGCAGCTGCAGTGTTGGTGAGTAATGTAAATAACAACTGGCAGGTCCCATCACAAGACCTGGGGAGCATCCTGCACAACCCACTCGGAGCCTGCACAGCGACCACGTCTCCCAACCCACTGTGGAGCCCTGCACTGGAGTTCCCTGCACAGCGATGACGTCTCCCGACCCACTCCGGAGCCCTGCACAGCGATGACATCTTCTGACCCACTCCGGAGCCCTGCACAGTGACATCATCTCCCGACCCACTCCGGAGCCCTGCACAGTGACCACGTCTCCTGACCCACTCCGGAGCCCTGCACAGCGACCATGTCTCCTGACCCACTCCGGAGCCCTGCACAGTGACATCGTCTCCTGACCACTCCGGAGCCCTGCACAGTGACATCGTCTCCCGACCACTCCGGAGAAGCTGCTTCCAGCCCCCAGAACCTGGCTCTGCCTGCCGGCCCCACATGTGTCTGTGGGGGAACACCGTGCACAAGCCCCACACCACCCTTTGCCATCTCTGCCCATGAGGCCTGCGGTGTGGAAAGCCTAGCCCGTCCAGCAGGACACACTCACCAAAACCAGCCTCTAGTGCTGTCCCCCTTCTCCTCCTCCCCCCAGGCCATGCACAGGCCTCTGCATGGGGCGGGGCAGCGGTCCAGGAGCCGCGTGCTGTGACCAGCTCTGGCAGCTCTGGCAGGCACAGGGCGGCGCTTCCAGACCCAGACTTGGATGGTGAGTGCACACAGTTGACGGCTGTTCACCCAAACCGTACTGAGATACGTGCTCAGACCCCACGGGTGCGCACGGACCCCTCCAAGCCCAGCTTGCGGGGCCTTGCGCTGACCTGCTGGCCCAGTGCCGCTTACTCGTCAGAGGGCTAAAAAGAAAGGCGCCCACAGCCGGCGCTCACAATGTGCATTCCGCCACTGAATAGGGGAGAAGAGCAGTTCTCACTCCTGAGACCAAGAAGCTGCACAGACAAACACGACTCCAGATCCCACCCCGGCAACCGCCCGCGCGGACAAGGATGGGGAACGGGAAGACAGCGAGATCCCACCCCACGAGACCTCGTATACGAACACCAGAAAGGACAAGCCTCGGGAACCACCGCCGTTCGAGTCAGGGCTCGCGAGGAGACGGTGCTCTGGGGCTCCTGGGGAGGTCAGCGCGGGCACTGCCCATCCTCCCAGAGGTCGTGACTGTTGGACCGGCCGTGTGACACGGGCCTTACCAGAACCATGTGGCCGGTGGAGATGTCCATGGTGGACTGGACCGGCTCCTCAGACCAGGACGAGACGCTGCTTCGTGCGGATGGGCTGGGCATCGACCCATCGCTGAACTGGGAAGAGACGCTGCTGATGCGGGACGCGTGCGGGCCCTCGGGGCGGCCGGCCGGCCGGGCGGCCATGCGCTGGCGGCACAGCTCCTGAGGGAAGCAGATGCAGAGTTGGTGTTTAGCGGCTTAGAGGGTGCTGCGTGCAGCCCGGGGCCTCAGAGCTCCACCCTTCCCTCTGCCTGTGTGTCCTGAGCCAAGCTCACGTCTACGAGAACTCTCACACCAGCCGCCAGAGCGCCAGGGCGCCGGAGCCACCAAGCCAACGGGTGCTCCTCGGACCATCCGTGTGCAGGGGGGAGGCAAACACTTTCCATCTGGTTCTAGAACAAATGGGTATGCACGCACACATGTGTGTGTAGACACGCACATACACTCACATCCACCAAACACACACCTACATATACACCGTCGATTCATGAAAGGGGTTTCTTGGTCCTATTCATGGTCAAATGGAACATTCTAGAATAATGGAACAGGCAGAGGATAGACATGTCTTCCCCCTGCCCCTCTCAAGAATGTAAGCACATGGAAGGCCAGGATTCTGAAATGCACACAGAGCTGGTCTGGGTGGGGGAGGGGAGGAGGGCAAGAGGAGGGCCGTGTTCTGGTTCTTTCTTTCCACAACTTCTACAGGGTCACGCGCACACCCCAGGAGTCTCAGGACCCTGCTGCGGTGAGCCCTGGTGCTGAGCCCAGAGCGCCTGCCCCTGCCTGCCCCGGTGTGGCCATGGCAGACGAACTCTGGCCTTCTTCCTGCGAAGATGTTAACGGTAACTGGCATCGCAATGCCAGCGGACGGAGACGCTCACAGCACCTGAGCCCTGGCAGCGCGAGAAACGCCACACCGGATGGCTGCTCATCGGCTGAGCAGCGCGTAAGGCTCCCACCCCCGCACCTCCACGGGTGCCACGTGGAGAATCTCAGCTGCGCAGCGCTCCAGGGGCCAGTGTGCGCGTGTGCTCTCTGTCTGTCTGTCTGTCTCTGTCTCTTGCTCATTTTCTTCTCCGTGCTCACTAGTGGGGCATCCTTCTGGGGCTGTCCTTCCCCAGAGCCTCAGGGCTTGGCAGCTGATGAGTATGATCAAGGGCATCTCAAGGTGACACACGGGGGAAAGCTGAGCCAAAGAAAACAAGGCTAACTGGGCCCGGGCACCTGTACCCAGGGTGAAGGGGAAGGATGAGCCACGGCCGCAGTGCTACCGTCTCCTCTCCCCATCTTTGCCAAAAGAGAGCTTGTTAAAAAAAACAACCCACCTCCTCTGAGAACATCAAAAACAAAGCACAGCGGGTGAGCAGGCCCCACGCGGGCGGGGGCCTGAGGAAGTGGGCGCCAGGGACGCGCATCTCGGGTTCCCGCTTGGGCTCCGGAGGCGTTACTGGCTTCTGAGAAAGCATGGCAGAGGAGCTCTGCCGCAGCCCCCGTCTGTCTGCCGGGAAGTCCCACACGCACCTGCCCCACAGCCGGCGGAGAGCACAGCCTGCTCCGGGCTCTGGGGACAGGGGCCGACATGTTTGACATCCACCCATGAGATCCAGGAAGCGGAACTAGCCTCGTGTCCATCCACCCTGTGGCGTGCCCAGGGAAGACGTACATGAAGCCTGGATTTCTGTCCCTCTCTCCCAGGGGAAATACAGTTCACTGGGAAAGGGCCAAAGAAGGAGCTGGGTTCTGTCTCAGCCACCAACTCTTGGTGTGAACTTGTGTAAACTAGGAAGGTCTCAGCACACGCTTCTCTCACTTTAAACATGGGAATCGGGGCTAGGAATGTGGCTTAGAGGTAGAGGGCTTGCCTACCGTGCATGAAGCCCCGGGTTCCATTCCTCACTACTACATATGCAGAAAAAGCCAGAAATGGTGCTGTGGCTTAAGTGGTAGAGGGCTAGCCTTGAGCAAAAGAAGCTCAGCGACAGCGCCCAGGCCGAGTTCAAGCCCAGGACTGGCAAAAACAAACAAAACATGGAAATCAGAGCACCCACAGGCCTCCACCAGAGCCCACAGGCCTCCACCAGCGCCCACAGGCCTCCACCAGCGCCCACAGGCCTCCACCAGCGCCCACAGGCCTCCACCAGCACCCACAGGCCTCCACCAGCACCCACAGGCCTCCACCAGCGCCCACAGGCCTCCACCAGAGCCCACAGGCCTCCACCAGCGCCCACAGGCCTCCACCAGCGCCCACAGGCCTCCACCAGCGCCCACAGGACCCTACCAGCACCCACAGGCCTCCACCAGAGCCCACAGGCCTCCACCAGAACCCACAGGCCTCCACCAGCGCCCACAGGCCCCTACCAGAGCCCACAGGCCTCCACCAGCGCCCACAGGCCTCCACCAGCGCCCACAGGCCTCCACCAGCACCCACAGGCCTCCACCAGCGCCCACAGGCCTCCACCAGAGCCCACAGGCCTCCACCAGCGCCCACAGGCCTCCACCAGCGCCCACAGGCCTCCACCAGAGCCCACAGGCCTCCACCAGCACCCACAGGCCTCCACCAGCACCCACAGGCCTCCACCAGCACCCACAGGCCTCCACCAGCACCCACAGGCCTCCACCAGCGCCCACAGGCCTCCACCAGAGCCCACAGGCCTCCACCAGAGCCCACAGGACCCTACCAGCACCCACAGGCCTCCACCAGCACCCACAGGCCTCCACCAGAACCCACAGGCCTCCACCAGCGCCCACAGGACCCTACCAGCACCCACAGGCCTCCACCAGAGCCCACAGGCCTCCACCAGCGCCCACAGGCCTCCACCAGCGCCCACAGGCCCCTACCAGAGCCCACAGGCCTCCACCAGCGCCCACAGGCCTCCACCAGAGCCCACAGGCCTCCACCAGCGCCCACAGGCCTCCACCAGCGCCCACAGGCCTCCACCAGAGCCCACAGGCCTCCACCAGAGCCCACAGGCCTCCACCAGCACCCACAGGCCTCCACCAGAGCCCACAGGCCTCCACCAGCGCCCACAGGCCTCCACCAGCGCCCACAGGCCTCCACCAGAGCCCACAGGCCTCCACCAGAGCCCACAGGCCTCCACCAGCGCCCACAGGCCTCCACCAGAGCCCACAGGCCTCCACCAGAGCCCACAGGCCTCCACCAGCGCCTACAGGACCCTACCAGCACCCACAGGCCTCCACCAGAGCCCACAGGCCTCCACCAGCGCCCACAGGCCTCCACCAGCGCCCACAGGCCTCCACCAGAGCCCACAGGCCTCCACCAGAGCCCACAGGTCTCCACCAGCGCCCACAGGCCTCCACCAGTGCCCATCAGCCTCTAGCTAGTGGCCCACTCGCTGTGTAGCAGGAGGGTGAGAGCTGGAGGCTGTTGGAGAAGCTCACTGGGGTCAGGAGTGGGGCCTCCATAAGGCTGTAGGGAGCAGCCCTGTCGTGAGGCTCAGAGCCTGCAAAGCTTCCTCAAAGACACAGAGACAACCAGGAGATCCCTGGCAGAGCACTGGGCAGGAACCCTGGCTCCAGCCGTGACGGTGGTGCGGCCTTGGGCGGGTGCCGGGCGGAGGCAGGTTCTCTGGTCCCTCAGCTTCCTCCTGTGCCTGGTAGCAGCAGCTGGAAGAGCAGGGTCCCAAGGTTTAAGCAAGGGGTGTGCCTGGAGGGAGCCAGGCAGCCTCGCCCTCCTGTCCTTACTCATTTAGACGCACCAAGCTCCAGCACACACGTGGTCACCATGGCTGGACACGAGGAATGCCAGGACCTGACCCCAGAGCCCACGTCCTCCTGACCCCAGAGCCCACGTCCCCCTGACTCCAGAGCCCACCTGACCCCAGAGCCCACGTCCTCCTGACCCCAGTGCACACCTGACCCCAGAGCCCACGTCCTCCTGACCCCAGTGCACACCTGACCCCAGAGCCCATGTCCTCCTGACCCCAGTGCACACCTGACCCCAGAGCCCACGTCCTCCTGACCCCAGTGCTCACCTGACCCCAGTGCCCACGTCCTCCTGACCTCAGTGCCCACCTGACCCCAGTGCCCACGTCCTCCTGGCCCCAGTGCACACCTGACCCCAGAGCCCACGTCCTCCTGACCCCAGTGCACACCTGACCCCAGAGCCCACGTCCTCCTGACCTCAGTGCCCACCTGACCCCAGTGCCCACGTCCTCCTGACCCCAGTGCTCACCTGACCCCAGAGCCCACATCCACCCAGTGCCCACGTCCCCCTGACCCCAGTGCCCACATCCACCCAGTGCCCACGTCCCCTGACCCCAGAGCCCACCTCCTCCTGACCCCAGAGCCCACCTGACCCCAGAGCCCACGTCCTCCTGACCCCAGTGCCCACGTCCCCCTGACCCCAGAGCCCACCTGACCCCAGAGCCCACGTCCTCCTGACCCCAGAGCCCACGTCCCCCTGACCCCAGAGCCCACGTCCTCCTGACCCCAGAGCCCACGTCCCCCTGACCCCAGAGCCCACATCCCCGACTCCAGAGCCCACCTGACCCCAGAGCCCACCTGACCCCAGAGCCCACCTGACCCCAGAGCCCACGTCCTCCTGACCCCAGTGCCCACCTGACCCCAGTGCCCACGTCCTCCTGACCCCAGTGCTCACCTGACCCCAGAGACCACGTCCCCCTGACCCCAGTGCCCATCTGACCCCAGTGCCCACCTGACCCCAGAGCCCACGTCCTCCTGACCCCAGTGCTCACCTGACCCCAGAGCCCACGTCCCCCTGACCCCAGTGCACAACTGACCCCAGAGCCCACGTCCCCCTGACTCCAGAGCCCACCTGACCCCAGAGCCCACCTGACCCCAGAGCCCACCTGACCCCAGTGTCCACCTGACCCCAGAGCCCACCTGACCCCGTGCCCACCTGACCCCAGAGCCCACCTGACCCCAGAGCCCACCTGACCCCAGAGCCCACGTCCTCCTGACCCCAGTGCCCACCTGACCCCAGTGCCCACCTGACCCCAGAGCCCACCTGACCCCAGTGCCCACCTGACCCCAGAGCCCACCTGACCCCAGAGCCCACCTGACCCCAGTGCCCACCTGACCCCAGAGCCCACCTGACCCCAGTGCCCACCTGACCCCAGAGCCCACCTGACCCCAGTGCCCACCTGACCCCAGAGCCCACCTGACCCCAGAGCCCACCTGAC